CAATGAGACTGAGCAGAGTGGTGTAGGTTAGGGGTAGTAAGCATTTCATTCCCATCAACCCCATGTCAGTGATGCCTGCTGGGGAGCACAGCCCCATCCTCACTCTGCAGCAACACAGTTTTGTGACCTGGTTATCTGCTTATGCTTCATTTGGTGGCAGCAGGGACCAGAGTGGAAAGTAATTCTTCACTCCCACTTGGAGACAATCAGGCAATGTGATGGTTGGTGCTTCATTTTAAAAGAAAAGGAGTCAGTAGAGCCAAGGGGAGAGGTGAACTCTGAACCCACACATTTGTAATGGGACAGTGTGAGTCAGTGCCCTTCTTCTGCTAGAAGGTGCTGGTGGGACCCAGCAGGAAGCTAAACATACACACCCATCTGGCTCTCATGCTACACCTCAACAGAGGGACTGACTACTAAAAAGAAGAAGATTAAATAGGATCCAGAGCCTCATAATATAATAGCCAATATATCTATAATATAATAGAAAATCACTTGTTATATCAAGAACCAGGAAAATCATAATATGAATGAGAAAAAGCAATCAACAGATACCAACATCAAGATCAATCCGTTGTCAGGATTATCTGACAAGGATTTTAAAGCAACCACCATAAAAATACTTAAATAATTATCTGGAAACAGACTTCAAAAGTAGAAAATATCAGCAAAGGAGTACACTGTATAGAATAAGAACCAAATAGAAATTACAGAACTGAAAAATTCAATAACTGAGGTGAAAACATACTGAATGGGCCCCAAAGTAGAAGGGAGATGACAGAATATATAAGCAGTGAATCCAAAGACAGATTAATGGAATTTACCCGATCTTGACATAAAAGACAGACTGGAAAAAAAAAAAAAAGAATAGTATCTCAGAGACCTGTGAAATAATAACAAAACTGCTAATATTTATACCATGGGAATTACAGAAGGAGAGTAAAGAGTGACTAAAAAAGTATTTAAGACATAATGGCAGAAAACTTCCCAAGTTTGGTGAAAGATACAGCCTACAGATTTAAGAAGGTGAGCAAGTCCCCAAAAGAATAAAAACTTAAAGAAATCTATGAAAAGGTGAATTATATTTAAACTTCTGAAACTAAATAAAAATAAAAAAATCTTGAGAGAAGCTAGAGACAAATAATTCATCACATATAGGGGAATACCAATGAGAATGATAGCAGAATTCTCATCTGGAATCATGGAGACCAGAAGGAACTGATACAACAGTTTTCAAAGACTGAAAGAAAAGAGCTTGTGAGCATGAATTCTATATTCAGTGAAAATATCCCTCAGAAATGAATGGGAAATGAAAAGACATTTCCAGATGGATGAAAACAAAGAAAGTTTATTGCTAGAAAGCCTTTCTGTGTAGAATGGGTAAAGGGAATTCTCAAACAGAAAGGAAATAATTTGAAGAAGACTCGAAACTTCAGAAAGCAAAGAAGAACATTGGAATGGGTAAAAATAGACAAAAAATATAATAGACACTCCTACTTCTCATGAGAATTTCTTAAATAATGTTTGATGATTGAAGCAAAATCATAAACAACATATGTTGTGGTACTCAGTGTACGTGGAGGAAATACTTGACATTTATTTAAAAAGTGGGAAGAGATGTATGTGGAAATAAGTTTTTACACTTCACTTGAAGTGACAAAACATAGATACCAGTAGACCATGATAAGTTACATATGTATATTGTAATACCTAGAAAAACCACCAAGACAACTATAAAGTGATCTACTAAAAAATGCTATAAATAAATCAATAAGGAACCCTAAAAATTGTTCTTGTAACTCATAGGAAAGGGAAACAGTGGAGTTAGGGACAGAGGAAACAAAAAACAAGTAATACAATGACAAGCTTAAGCCTTACCATTATCAATGAAGACTATAAATGGTCAAAATACACCAATTAAGAGACAAATATTGCCAGAGTGGATTAAAAAACATGATCCTATCATATACTGTCTACAAGAAACTCACTTCAAATATAATAATGTAGGTAGGTTCACAGTGAAAGAATGTAAAAAATTATACCATGCAGATGTTAATTTTAAAAAAGCAGGGTGGTTATATTAATATCAGATAAAGTAGACTGTAGAACAAAGAAACAGTATCTGCCCTCAGAAAGCTTAAAAATTTACATGCTATTTGAATATTAACATTTTCATTTTTTAGAAATAAACTATAGTAACTGCCATCAAAGCCAGACTTGGGGGATACAATTAAGTAGTAATTTTAAAGTTAATTAATTTTAAAGTATAACCAGCCCACAATATTTATTTATAATGCATATAGAGCATTGTTCTATGTACTCTTCAGTGATAGAGCTGATGTGGAAATTCCATGTAAAACATGATGTAATAGGATTTTGAATGGTTTTGGAGACATTGGCAAAGGATCTCTTGAGTCCCAAACACTTGTAGGTGATTTATTAGAGCATCGATGAATAAAGCAGATATGGTCCCTTTTCTCGTGGAAATTAGGGTGAGGGTGACTAGGTAAGGATGAACTTGCTGGGCTGCGAAAATATAATAGGATAATGGTGAGGCCAGATTAAAAAATTAAGGAAGAGGAATGGTAAATGATTACCCACTTCCTTGATTTCATCTGTTTCAAGTTCATAGTGAAAACTGACTACATTGAATGATAGAATCTTCTTCTGGGTAACTGCTCAATCTTGACAGCAGTGATTCTTTAGAACTATCTTAAAAAATTATCCTATACTATTAAATAAAATAAAACTGCATTTTCCCCCCCTGAAGTATAGTTACAACCATGTGAAAAATGTTTACACGTAAAGACAAAAACCTAAAGGGAAATCAGACCTATGAAAATGGCTAATCTGCTGGGTTGTGGGATTAAGGCTGATTTGTGATTTCTTGTAAATGACCTCTGTTGATAGAATGTAATCTTTAGAAGAAGCAGAAATTGGCAGGAAATGGATATGCTGAACCCAGAGAAGGAGTAGAAGGCTCATGAGTTCTGCTGTCCACTCTGTGGGGGAGGTCTGGAGGCAGGAGGGAGAGCAGTGGGCTCTTTCTCAGCATGAGTGTAGATACTTGGCCAATGCCTACTTGGGAATAATATAGCTCTAACCAGTGGAGCCTGTTGTTGGCCGAGGAGGTTCATACTTTAAGACTTACTTTCTCATTGTTGCCTATGAGTTGATCTGTCTTTCCACTCCATTTATCAAAAAGACAGATCTAATTTAAAGTTTCTTTATATTTGTACTTTTCCAGGCATTTTTATGTAACTTAATTTTTATGAGAATGTATCAAGGTAGGATAAAAAGTTATGTCCACATTTAAAAGGCAAAGAGACTGAGACATACAAAGACTTTGCCACTTAGTAACTGTGCAACTTTTAGTGTTCAACCTTCTGTGCCACTGTTTCCTTATCAGTGAAGTAGTGATGATGATTCTACTTAAATCATAAGGTGTGTAAAAATTAAATAAATTAAATTAACACATACAAATTACCTTGAAAGGAGCCTAGTACATAATAAGGACTCAACAAATGGTAGCTATTATTTAATATTAAAAATTATTGTTTAATTTAATTATTTAATAATTATCAATATTATTTTTATAATATTGCACTTACCTCTTGGTGTTTATTTATTTAATCCACTGGGGCATGCAGGGTTACAACCCTGTTTTCCAGTTTTCTTAGGTCCTATACTTCCTGAGAAAGCAGCATGGTGTAGAAGGGAAAACAAATGTGGATTTTGTAACTGAAAAAAAAACATTCTTAATTCAAATCCTAGGTTTATTGCTCAGCTGTGAGACTTTGGAGAAATCATTTAACCTCTCTGAATCTTAGTGTCCTCATGTTTAAAATGAATGCAATATACTAATATCAATGGAACCTAGGTTCTTTCAAATACAGAGCCTGAGTAAAGGATTTATTGGTGGTAGTTTCCTCGGGAGAGGCCATCCCAGAGCATTATGAGTGAAAAAGCAAGTGTGGCATGTAAGAAAGAAAATTATGTAATAGGATGTAGTGCTTTGTTGGCCACTGTAGTATGATCATCTATAAAGGTACACAGTTGGTCACTTGGCAGGTACATCAGGTTGGCCTTGCAGGATGTCTCCAAACAACATGGTACCTCCAGACTGACCATCAGTAAGAGCAAGGCAGAAGGAATTTGTCTGTTGACTCCCTCCTGTACCCTGTCTGGCAATTGATCATGATTTGTCCCACAGAGGAATTAACATTGGCAGCTGTTCAGAAAGTCAGATCCCGTATCTGGTTGCATGGCAGTTCATCAAAGTCTGGAAGTGGAAGTGCTGAAAAGACTTGGGGACTATAGGAATGAAGCTAGTCAGTTTGAAGAGGCAGAACTTCCAAGATCTGCACTGTGTTTTTGCAATGACAGTGGCCAAGTGAGGGCAAAGAGGCCAGGGGCCCAGGAATATAAGGAGGGCCTTAACAGGTTCCTGTTACATTCTTACAGTATGAAATCAGACATAGGGCTGTACTAATATTAGATTTTAATTTTTATCCACTCTGTTGGGTGGTGGTAGCAACAGGGAGAAGTGCCTGTTGGAGTGGAACTCTAGAAGGCAATTCTGAAACCACAGCAGACTGCATGTATCAAATATTATGAGAAGCAGCAGCATCTATCAGTGTGCACCTTGAATGCATGGCCACCACGCGTGTTCATGTGCAATGCTTTGTTTCCTTAGCAGGGGCACCAAATAGTCTGGCATAAAAAGAATAGTAGCTATAAGAAAGAACATAAAAAATCTTTTATTATTTAAAAATGTTTAAAATTTACAAACCTCTGTCCTCTATTGGGCAGATTGTATCTTCTACACCAATGTGAGTCTTATCTCAGATGATGCTACAATGTGACATTGGTACTCCTTTCTAGGAGGTGAGGTATGTGTTCCCAACTGATGGAATACAGTGGAAAGGATGATTATATGTTTTCCAAGACTGAGTTATATATAAAAGGAAAAGTTGCTTTCCCCTGGTTCTCTTTTTTAGGACATGAACCTCGAGAGCCTGAGCTAACATCTAGAAATCCAGCTCCCTGGAAGCTGCCTGCTAAAGAGATTATGTGAAGTGACTACAAAGAGACACAGGGAGTTGCCTGAGGAGCTGCCGCTATTCCAGCTCCAGCCATTGGAGTCTTCCAGCCCAAGCACCAGACAACTGAGTGAAGAAGTCTTTGAGATGACTCCACGCAGCCATCATCTGACTGAGACCTCGAGCTGGAGCCACCCAGTTGAGCCACAGCAAATTCCCAGCTCATACACATTGTAAGTAAAAATAAATGATTATTTTTGTTTTAAGCTACTAAACTTTGGAGGTAATCTCTTTGCAGCCACAAAAACTGGAACACTTGTGGAGCCCCAGGTGCTTTGATTAGAAGTTAACATGTGATACAGAGATGCCATGCACTTTTTAAAAGCTTTTATTCTTCTCTCTTTGGAGAAAATTAAAAAAAAAAAAATTATTTACCATTGACTAATGAAGCATAAGCTTTGGAGCCCTTCACTTCTAAAATAAATGTTTTCAATGTATCACATAGTGATACATTTACATACATAGATACACACAGGCACACACATATATTTTGTATAATTTGCAAAGTTAGATTAAAAACATTTGCAACCTGTGTCGCTTTCCATTGTGGCTTTCCGTCCATTCCCCTTCCCCTCCTGTTGGATGGTATTGGAGCAGCCATGGGCATTTTTGGTATTGGACTAAGAGGAGGTTAAGTTGAGGATATGTTTGGTTTAAATTTTGTGGGTCATGTATATATGGTTCACAGTTAATTCTCTGTAAAGGTATTATTTCTAGTCATCCTGATGTAGGAATAGTTTTTAAGAATACTCCTGCTGCCCACTGTGCTGATTCAACTGATGCCATGGAATAAGAATTCAAAACTAGAAGTTGTCAAGCAGTAAAAGCACACCCAGTAAGTCCAGCACTCACCATTGGAAGTACTTGGATAGTGGAAGAAGACAGGATTTAACAGGTAAGGAGACACAAGCTGGTCTATGGAAAATTATTCTGAACATCAGACATAAAAAAACATATCTCTCTGATACCTGGTCAAAAGAAATGTTCTTTCCTGTCATGAAGATTCTCGTTAACATGTTATATACAATTTTAAACATAAATAAAATTGACAACTAGTTTAAGCATTACAAAATCCAGAAAATTAACATGATATTTGTATTCTTTAAGTATCAAATCAGTGAGAATTAAAATCTTTTGCTAATATGGTCATATGATTCACTTTTCCATTAATTGGATTATCGAACAAACCAGAGGTCTATTCATTACTGCTATTCAAAATTCATCTCTTTCCCTTAATAAATTACTGCCTCATGCGTGATCTGAAAATATTTATTTTTATATTTTTTCTTTCCATGTCAAAATAATTTCCATTGATTCTAATGCTTATCTTGTTTGTTTTCCTTCCATATTTCATTGATTTTTAATTGGTTTTTTCCATTCTTTAGTAAGTAAATATAATACAAAAGAAGATATGCTTCCCTGTTGTCTAAATTATAAGTGTGCATATGCATTCCAGAACTGGGGAAGAAAAATAAAAGAAGAGAAAAAAAATTATAAGTGTGAAATTTCTCACTTGCTTTAAATTTGAGATGATTGTGTTTTTTTTTTTATTATTGTAAATAAGTACCCCCTCCCATACCTAATTTTTAATGCTTTTTATTAGAGAAGAACTTCCAAGTGGTAGAAGCTTTAGGCTTCATATACCTGAATCCACACCTGACTGTAGACACTGTGAAGAGGTGAAGGTACCTGTTGAGGCATGTCTTCTTTCGGGAATTCTGCCCTGACACCCCATGGCTGTGTTAAGCACCCCTTTGAGTCCCACACTCTCTCGTTCTTATCTCTAGCACTCACTACTTTAAATCAGGCACACAATTTTTTCTTTTATGCTTTACAAAAACTCAATGAGATAGTATGATGGTCAAGTTTAGGTGTCAACTTGGCTAGGTTTTGGTACCCTGTTGTTTGGTTCATATTGGTATTTTGTAGATGTTGTTAACATCTATAATCCGTTGTCGTTAGGTCAAGAAGATTACTCTCGATAATGTGAGTGGACCTCATCCCATCAGTTGAATGTCTTAAGGTAAAACCTGAGGTTTCCTGGAAAGGAAGGAATTCTGCCTCAAGACTATAGCACCGTAGCATAGAAATCATGCCGGAGTCTCCCTCCTGTTGGCCTGCCCTGTGGATTTGGGGGCCACAACCATGTGAGCCTATTCCTTAAAATCTCTCTAATCTCTAATCTCCCTCTCTCTCTCCTTTGTCTCTCTGGAAAGCCTTGACTGGAAGAGTAGTAATTAGTATTATTGGAATTTTATAGAAAATAAAACTGAAGCTGAAGGCTGGTATGTAATTTGTCTGCGGACACACACTGGTATGTGGAAGACCACACCTATAGACAGGGCTTGTTCTTTTTACTCTGCAGCATCAACTCTTTCTGACCTCAGAAAACATTTAGTCCAGCTTTGTCTTATTGGGTTGGGTGATCTTGGAGATTTTATACTTGATCCACCTCAACCTCTCTTTCCCCATGTGCAGTGTGGTGACAATGGCTCTTGTCCTACTTATGTCACAGGACTGCTTTCAGGTCAATGAGAGTAGAAGTGAAGGCAAAACTCTATACAAACATAATTCTTTTTTTTTTTGTTTTTTTTTTTTTTGAGACAGAGTCTCACTTTGTTGCCCAGGCTAGAGTGAGTGCCGTGGCGTCAGCCTGGCTCACAGCAACCTCAATCTCCGGGGCTCAGCGATCCTACTGCCTCAGCCTCCCGAGTAGCTGGGACTACAGGCATGCGCCACCATGCCCGGCTAATTTTTTGTATATATATTTTTAGTTGGCCAATTAATTTATTTCTATTTTTGGTAGAGACGGGGTCTTGCTCAGGCTGGTTTCGAACTCCTGACCTCGAGCAATCCGCCCGACTCGGCCTCCCAGAGTGCACCCGGCCATAATTCATTCTTAATTAAGAAATTAACTTCATGATTTTCCTTCCTAGACTAGCTTTCCCCTTCTCGAAGTGTTAATTTCTTCTCTTTCTTTTGCCACCTCTTTCTCCCACCTCATGGCCCTTTCTCCTTTTAAGTGACAATTACATGAAAATGTTTGTGCTTTCATATACAATATTTTGTTTAATCGTCAGAGCACAAGTCATTAAATAACTATTATACCCATTTCACAGATGAGAAATTTACACACAGAGGTGCCCAAAGTGATATGGCCAGAGAGTAATAGAACTGAAACATTCTCCCACTATCTAAAGTGGAATAAAAAATACTGGAAAATTTTAATCAATTTGAACCCTAGTACCATTGCCATGAAAAAGAATCTCTTACTTTGTAGGAAAAATGTCTTTAATTCAGGTCCCCTTCCTTCCCTAAAGGGAGAAAATTATAATTTCAGTGATTAAGCTTTTAGAGTCAGTATTTCCATTGGAAGATTCTGTATCTGATTCACCTGCTAGTACGAAACTGAAGCTATCAAACATTGGTGTCCAGCTGGCTGAAGAAGATTAAACTCTGGAAAGGTATTTAAATAAAATTTAAATAATTTATAATTTGCCTCCTTCTGAATAGCAAGTCCTCTTTAGTGCAAGAGGAAGAAGTAGCAGGGAACCCTTCAATAGAAGGCTGAGTTATGGCACGTAGAGTATCTGGGACCTGATTTTCTATGTAGTTTATGGCAGACAAGGAGAGTTGATATCTGATTTAAAATAAATCTCTAAAGTAAATACTCTTACAAACTGGTTTAATGAAAAGCCAAAATGCATAGAGAATGCAGGGTTTATATTGAGACTAGAATTCGGTTGTCATTATTTTCAGGGGGATATTGACAAGCCAGGGGCAGATTTCAGGACTGTGGTGAGACTGTTGTAAGAGACGGAGTTTGGGAGTCAGGGATGCCCAGCCCGATGGAGGCTTAGGGGAAACAAGAGAACTGCTTCAGTGATTGAAGGGTAGATGTTTAGCCCCAGAGGGTAGAATGTAAAGGCAAGCTGATCACAATTCTTTCTGACAAGGAGCCTCAGCACGGAACAGGCTGGTTTGAGAGGTGGGGACATTTGGTAGTGAAAGGTGGTGGTCAGAATGGTGACCAGGGACTCTGATGTCTGAATTCCTACTTCCTGATGTGGGGTGTTGGGCTGCACAAAATCTAAGAACTCTTCCATTGCTAATATTCAAGGCTAAAGTGTTGATTAGAACTATTTTACCATTAACAGCATGCACTGACCTAGGTCTGTTTAGGCAGAAAACCATAATTTGCTCATTCAGTTGGTCTTAAGGGGAATTGGTTCACGTGAAGGATCTTTTTACTTATCTTTGTACATCTTATTTCTTCTAAGTCTTAGATTCTTTATATGTAAAATGGAATAAACACACCTCCTACTTTATGTGGCTATTGTGCAGATTGGTTTGCGATAACACACATAAGTTGTTGAGTGCCTGACATCTATTAATGTCCCAATGAATGTTAACCATTATGATTGTTGTTACTTTTGTTGGTGTTGCATGTAAATTTATTTGGCCTTATAACTTTGTGAGGTTGATGATGTCTTCTCCATTTTATAAATAAGGCGTCAGAGGCCCAGGTGAAGTCAATTACTTGAGTTCCCATAGCTGGCAAGATGTGGAAATGGAAGTCAAACCGATGTCTTGCTCACAGCATAGCCACAACCGTTTCTTTGGTTCTCTATGCAGCGGTAGACCCCTTTCTTGTTTTCTCAGACATTTGCCATAAATATGACTCTGTTGTGTCATTTTGATGTTTAATCATTCCGAGTTCCAACAGAAGCAAAGCTCTGGCTTTGTGTTACATGCATACATATACATGCACTAGCACACACAGCTTCAGTGACTAGAGTAGAAACTGTAAGCATCAACATGACTCTATTATTCGAAACATCATTTACTGACGGCTCCAGCAAAGCTTTTGATCATGCCAAGCTGTGTGGCTCAATGAAATCCATGTATAGAATCCTATCTAGCTGCAGAAAGATTGCATCAGAGAAGGCTGAATGGTTCAATTGCTGTTATTCTAAAGCCAGCATTCTGGCGGGAGCATTAGTATTCACAAACATCAAAAGAGTCGCTAGAATGGAAATTGACCCTGTCTTGTAATATAAACAGGTCAGCTGTTTGAGAGTTTCCAAAGACAGTTATGATGCAACAGCCTATATGCAGTACTCACAGGCTAATCTGTTTTAAGCTTCTCCTCTGGCATTTCTCTTTCCTACGGAGGAAATAAAAGGGAAAGTGAATACAGATAAAGAAGAGAGCTCATCCCTTTTGCCATTTAAGAAATGGCCTATTGTCCAGCCCCCACGGGGGTACGGCAGTGCTGGTAAATTCAATATTTACATCGCTGGGGCTGTTTTCATGAAGACTTTCTTTTCATGTGAGATGTTATCATCTTGTGATTTATGATCTATGTGTCTCTGCTGACATTTTTTTCTAAAGTTTTCATTGTTCGTAAATGTATATAACACCAGGCAAATAGCTAATGCTGATCGAGTGGGCTGCAGGTGCAGCAGACATTTTAAATAAGAACACAATTAAATGGAAATCTGAATTCTAGCCAGCAGGATGTTAACAATAATACAGTACGCTGGGGTGCCCTGCAATATTGATCCTGTGGTGTCTCTATAAGCAGCAGCTCGCAGTGCATTTGCCACGAAAAGATGTACATGTTTCAGTGGAGCCATTACCCACTCAGGGGGGTGGATTGTAGGAGGACGTGGGTTGAGGCAATTCATTCAGATGTAAGATGTGAGTCAGGGATGAAACTATACCTTGTTTTATCTGGGCTATCCTTTCTCTTTAAACTTGCTGATTTCACTAGCTCCTTGACACTCCCCCATCCCAATCCTACAACAATTATTAGCGAGCATAAAAATTAAGTGTGAAGAATTAGTTTACACTGAAAAATACAAAATCACAGTTTTTTTCCAAAGTGTTTTTTTTTTTTTCTTTCTAAAATTAAAGGTGAAAAGCTGCCAAGAAGTTGCAGTGGGCAAAAATGCAGACTGATTTAACTCATTTCTATAAAGGCACTAAAGTGGAACAGGTATCTGTAACATCTTGTGTGTTTTCCCTAGGCCAGTCTTTTTGGGGCACATATGATCTATAAGACTCAGACCAAATGTTACATAAATGACACAGGTTAAGAGGTTTCATGATTCTGAGTCAGGCCAAAATGCTGGTGAAATTTCCATATGGCTGGGAAGTTTTAATGCTGCCTTTGTCTATACTATAGATCTCTGAAGTTTTCTTTGCAAATATTTCATAACCAACAGTGTACAAACATGTTAAAATTATTGAAAAATCTCTCAAAATATGATTTTAATAAAAAGTTAAGTGAAAAGAAAATGGTACCCTACTATATGTATTTTTCCAATTTATGACTTATTATACATGTAAGCATTTTTCAGCAAGCATCTCTTCTAAATTAATTATCCATTAACCATCCTATAAAGTAAGTTGGCCTAGAGTATTCTATGGCAAATTAGTTCTGCAACCACCTCCCTTTCTCCTGGAATCCTTCCAATACCCCAGCTGTCTGCTGGACATTCTAAATCTCCCATTATAGCCTCTGACACAGGCTTACCATATCATTTTTGTATTCCCAAGTTATGCACCCTCTCACAACTCAATTCTCTCAGAGAAGAGGCAGCATGATTAAGTAGAAACAGCTACTGAGTCAGAAAACCCAACTGTGGCATCTCATCCCAGCTGTTTCCTGTGTGTCTTTGTCTAATTCCTATCTTCTTTGAGTTTTGGGTTTTTCATCCATAAATGAAAAAAATACTTCGTAGTGTTTTGTTTTTTTTATTTGATTTTTGAGATAGGGTCTCTCTCTGTTGCCCCAGCTAGAGTGCTGTGACATTGACATCGCTCACTTCAACCTCATACTCCTGAGCTCAAGTGATCCTCCTGCCTCAGCCTCCTGAGTAGCTGGGATTACAGGCGTGTGCCACCATGCCCGGCTAATTTTTCTAATTTTTGTACAGAGACACCAGGCCCAGCCCATAGAGTTTTGAATATTAAATGAGATAATCTATGATGGGCCAAGTACAGTGCCTGATGTGTGGTTCTTGCTCACTAGATCTTGGTTTGCATTTTTCCCTGCACAGAAAAGATAAAAGAGATGTAATGAATCCCTTCATGTTTTGCTTTCCCTGACATGGATTATTTGCATTTTAA